CAATGATATTACGCAGCGCCTGAAAATAGGCTTATTGGAAGTTACCTAGCTAGGACTGTTTTCAGGCGCTGCGTAATATCATTGCGCCTGCTGCACCCATGGTATGGCAGCAAAGTTCCTTGGTTATTACGCCGGAATGAGAGTATTGTTCCTAGCCATAGAGAAAATCACAACTTTTCATTTTCCGTCGGTCTTAGTACACGATGTAACTACAGAAGAGTCAAGTTTTAAATAGGAAAAATATCGAAACTCTTTGGTCATTTTTGAGTGAGATGCTAACGGTCTAATCAGATTCAATGATCTATGCTAAGCTACAGCTAAAAGTGCTACCGCCAGACCCGGAGATCGGCTGAATGGATTCGAAAACGGTAAAACTCAACTGTTTAACTCTAGGGGAGTTGGAAAATGAGCCTATTTTCAAAAATAGTGGAGTGTTCCTTTAAGCTCCCCCAATGAAACTTAATATTTCCACATGTTTCACTTCAAGTCAATATACGCTTCAACAGTAGTATTATCACATCTTCTAACACTGAGCACCTGTACCGTCACTTCACCAGACATTTAACCCTCGCACTCAGAAAAGGCCACAAGGTTCACGTCAGCTATTCTGACAGAGCAAAATAGCCTTGATTCACATTTCACGTGTAGTATCTAAATCTCTACACATTATGTTACTAATATTTTACACACTATTCAAAATTCTGTAGGAATGAAGATTATTAGTAGCTAATTGAATTTGCATGTCTTATTTTCTAAATCAATGGGATCTGAACAAATTACAGTTAAATCTAATTTTAAGCATCTTTTTCTTTTCTTAAACACTCATTGATTTCTATCTGTGTGAAGTTTTGGAGGGGGCTGTATGGTGAGGGCCGTCTGTGATCACTGACCTGCCCCTGTTAAAGCAGCCATAATTCAGTGCTTCACATTGGCCCTTTGAAGAGCTCAGTCTATCACACTTTTCTCCTTATGGAATAATTTTAAATCAACGTCATCTCCTGCTGCCAGTAAATCTTTAATATTAACCATACGTCTTGGAAAACCGCAAGTCTGTGTACATGCTTCCTAAGATTATAAACCTATTTTCAGTCCTAGTTCAGCTTCAGGATATGGTTTCTGCTATGGTCTTTTTATAGAAACATTAAGGAACTAAGGATGTATTTAATTTGGTGTTGCTGATGTTACTTGTAATGCATGAAATGTCATAATTTCTGCTTTAAGAATAACAACACATATATAAATGAGGCCAGAGGGCTACTTTTATTCGGTTTAAAAGTAAACCGAATAAAGCCTGCATATTAAAGAACACAATCAAAGCCATCTGGTTCTGTGTGCCACAAACACCTGCATTTGATTCCCACTGGAAAATGTTTACTACCTTTTTCTGCTTTTGTCGTGCAAGGATCTAGATTGACATTTGAAAAAAGCCTTGAAATTAAATCCTGCAAAGATGTAATGAATGGTTATAATAGTAATCAAAGTTCTGTGATTAATTATGAAACTCTTTTGGAAACTCTATTGGAAATTCTATTATGAATTAAAAACAACAACATATGGCTCCCACTGAATGTTTTATTTAAAGATACAGGCAAGATACAAAACATGCTGTATGAGGTACCCTCACTTATGAGCAAAACAAAGCAAATAATTAATGAAATACATTGGGGAAAATGTTGAATAGAACTGGTAGATGCAGTTATTTTAATAAAATTAAACCATACAACAACCTATCACAAAAAAAACTAAATATTTATTTCATCATATTTTCACACATTTTTCCTCAGCAAAGTTTTAAAAAAGCATGTGATGACACAATGCTACTTAGGTCAGAAATTTACTCTGAAGCAAACTTTTCTTTTTGTGATATTTGGTTTTGAGATGAAACCAAATCAGTTGCACCTAAATAAAAACATCATCCAAAAGTATTTGAGTTAAAGGTGGGGTATGTATTTTTTCAAAAACGCTTTAGAAAACTAAGTCGGGCCAAGTACCAAAACAAACTTGTAGCCAATCAGCAGTAAAGGGCGTGTCTACTCATGATGTGGAGGAGAGAGTGCTCAGTGCACAGGACGGCCATTAACGAGCCGAGTGACAGAAAGATAGAGATGGTGGATAAAAAACAAAAGAGGACAACGTCTGCGGAACAAAAGAAGGTTTACGATAAGGCAAGAAGTAGAACCCACGTAAATATCGGATCAGCTTTCCAGCGCTGGAGAGAACTCAGAGAACGCTGAGGTTGCTTTGTTTCTTCTCGATAGGTGAGTAACACCGTGTCTACACCGGACGCGACAGTTGAACAGTTGACAGTTAAAGTCTGTCTACACTACGTTGAAAATCGTTTGAAATTTGTGTCAGTACGTCATAAATAGAACACAGCAGCAGTTTTCTGTTGGGGATTTGTCGTGTCGTGTCGCACTGCATCCAGTGTAGACAGCATCACTGATTATAAGGAGTTCTACAGAATTTTGTCGCGCCGCGCAGTGCCGCACGCATCTGGTGTAGACACGGTGTAACATTGGTTTTGCTTTGTTTCACAGAACTAATCGTTGCCTGGGTTGCTTGCGTACGTATGTGTGGGGCGGAGCTATCAAAATAGGGGCGAGACCCTTTTGGGGTAGGGCGTGTTTGTTTTGGTGATTTGAAATATCAACATTGGCTACCAGAAATCACTTACCCCACCTTTAAATGCATAAAGAGTGTAAACAGACCAACATGCTAGCTTGATGTCATGCTAGCTGAATCATGCTATGATCATGCAACTGTCCAGAGGATAGACATGCTACTTCCGGCATCATGGGCAATTTGGTTTATGCGCCCTCTCACACAGTCCACTGTAGCAAAGATTACAGTGCCGTTACGCACCTGGAAAGATACCCTCAGTCCCACACTTGCCCATACGCTTCTCTCTGGCATATGTCCACCAATCTGTTGAGCTACAGGGGCTGGCTGAACCCCCTGAGACCCACTCTGTTGGAGCAAGGTGAGTTTGATTAGACTGCATGAGTGGATAAGCTGCAGATCTAAAGCCACACTTGCTGTCCCTGCTTCCCGAAAGATGAAGTCTCTGTGATCTTTGGTTCCAGCAAGTGCAACTTGTGTAACCGCTGGACTTGTCTGATGGAAGAACAAGGCTTTATTCCGCACTGCACCAGAGGGGAGACCTCTCCTGGACACGGAGGCCGACAAGGCAGTGGACACGGCTGAAGGGATCCACACCAGACTGAGCATGCTGATCCCAGAGTCATCACCGAAGTAGCGCACATTGCACTGAGCGGGTGCAAGGATCTCAAAGGTGAGCATATCCCCAGAATCCACCGTGGTGGCTGCCGACAGAGATATAGATGTGTCTCTGTAGTGAACACCGGGCTTGAATGCACGGGTCAGCTCAGCACTGCTTCCGTTGTGGTTCACGTATGCAAGCAAGTAGAAGCCCTCAGAGATACAGGCTTGACCCATGGAGTACAATGCTTGCTGGAGGACAAACTTCACAGTGCCACTTTCTCTGAAGCGCACCCCTCGGTTGTCATGGGTCAAGCCAACCATGTAGGGGTCAGAGATGGATGATGTATGGAAAGCAGGGCGGTAGTTGGTGTGGTAGTGCGCAGAAGCTACGGCCTGAGCAGTCATTGCAACCGCACCTGTGTCATGAGACAACCAGAGCAAGCTGAAAGGTGAGATTAGGCTGCTCTGAAGGTGCACATCTTCATTGTCTTGGCTACACTGGTTGGTGGTGCTCTTGAGAGAAAGGTAGAGTACATGACCTGGCTCCACAGCAGCTGCTCCACTCACACTGGCACTCTGGAGAGATTTCCCCTCCCGATGCTCCAAACGCATCCCACTCAGATCCCGACCTTCATCTTCACTGGCGTTTAGTCGTAAGCATGCCTGAACAAAGCTGCGGCAGCCATGTTTTAAAGCAAGATTATGGTCAACCCAAACAAGACCATGCTGGTGAAGCACTATCCAACCATCAGTGCAGGAAAGAAGGCTTCCGTCACTGTTACCACGGATGTGAAGTTGCTTATCAGGAAGCTCACTACCCTTGGCCAGGTCAACGTTACCAGACCAGGAAAGAG